AGGACTTGACGAAATATCAGCAAAATCAAATATTAATCTTTGGTTCAAGATTGCTATGGTTGAAATAGAATGAGATGATGAATAAGTGAATTGAGATTTGGTCAACAACAACGAAGAGATATTTTGGAGTGTTATTTTTCAGTTAATAAAAATCTTGCTGAAACAGTTAGTAAGTATAGGAGGAGTTATCCAGACAGAAGATTACCAAGTAAGAATAATTATGTAGAGTATTTGACTGCTACATTTGACAGAACAGTTTGTCGAATATCATCATCATCATATATTTTCGAAATCAGGAAAGAGAGCTCTTCCGAAATATGCAATAATATACAGGGGGTTCCATTTGAAAAAAAAATTGTTTCCCGCGGAATACCCTTACCCTATTGATTCATTTATCACCATTCCACATCACCAGTATCACCAGAGCCAGTGACCAGTAATCGAGATGAATGATTTATCACAAATTATTTCATCAATAAGGGGTATACCCAAGAAACCTACGATAAAATAATAGGATTTTCATTATTATGCAATGGAATCGTCCTGAGACTCACGAGACTAAGGCACGACCCAAGGATTATTAATTTTATTATACAAAATCGTTGCGCACGACCACTACGACCAGGGTCTTTTCAATGAAGGTGATCCATTGCACCACAGTATATGATGGGCCATACCGTTTGAATGTTCGAGATATTGTCAGCACATTCTATTTCAGTTCCACTTTCCTTCTGGCGTCTATGTAGCTTCTTGATAATTGCTAGATTTGGATATTTTAACATAAGTTTTCCCTGAATCCCTAGATCACTCGCAACATCTCTAGATCTAGAGAAATTTTCCTGAACCTGGCAACAGTGGCAACCTTGAGGCTAGGATAGCGCGAGGTGTTCTGTGGTCAGGGGGTGGTCAGGGGCAACCAAAACAAAGATAGCTTGAGTTACGGTAACCTGTCACTTTCTTACTCATGATGTTTAATGGCGGTTGGGTGCTGAAATTATCTTTTAGACAAAAATTCAGGTACTTTGGGATCTTATTTTTGTTCAAAATCCACATGAAAATGGAGACAAATATTCATTATATTACAGTCATTATATTATTGGACTCCATAGTATTGCTTCATTTGTCGTGTTTTGTTTTGATAGGACTAAATTTTGTTGGTGTGAATTGGTATGGTTATGGTATTGTTGGTGTTGTTAATTTTGAATAATAACAATGGTGATATTCGCCTTCCGACCGTGGTGGAGGACAGTCGGCGTCCTCGTGGTCGGAAGTCAAGTAAATGTTTGTACAAGTCCAAAAACCTGATCTGGAGTCAACTCCAAGTTAAAAATATTACATTTAATTGAAAGTTTAATAAGTGTGTGTGAATTTCATCAGGCCTCTTTGTCTCTACGCCGGTACCCAGGCCGGATGATAACGGATTTATCGGACAAGGAGGTCTTATCTTAGCAACTCTATAAAAGTACCCCTTTATCTCTACGCTGGTACCCAGGCCGGATGATGACGGATTCATCGGATAAAGGGAGTACATACAAGTGCAGTGATATATCCGACTAGCGGACAAGATAGTGGACTGACGGAGTCCTTATACGCTTGTGGCCGATAGTCAAGCGACAAATAAATAAATAAGAACAAGTTACAAGAGGGTTTTGAATCACCTTTGTAAATTGAACTTCGCCCTTTGCTTTCATTGTAATTTATATTTTTTCTGTAAGTTCTTCTCTGTAACCGAAATTGTCGATGAAGGTAATGAAGACGTTTATTATTATTATTATTATTATTAACCAGAAACCAGTGAAGAGTATGGTGATAAAGCCGGACTTGCCACTAGGCAAGCTCTTCATGTAGAAATAAAAACAAAAATAAAACATAACATGGCTGTATGTCCGCATAATGATGTAAATAACCCTGGTGTTTCTACTCTTTTGTTTTTCTTTAGAATGTGTGGATCGATTCTTAAGATTGGTCATACTTCAAAATTCGCCTGTAGGTGGCAGCTTCATCGGTCATTTAGTGCAGTTCTGTGGCCCTGTGATGAATTTCCATAATTTTCAAGGCCATGAATAAATAAAATATCGTCAATATACCGAAATTAATATATTAATTTAAATTTTGAATTTCTGATTCTGTTTCCTTGTGAGAACTTGAGAAGTATAGTGATAAAATTCATCTATCTGTTGTTTTATCTTATTATATTCTCTTCATTGTAAGCAGTGTTAATTAAAGCTCATCCAGTTTTTGTTGTTCATAGTTCCTAGAGTTGTTTTTTTATTCATTGTTGTGCTCTTGTTCACAGCTGGTTTATCCTTGTGTTGTGTTGGTTATTACAATCATGTATTTTTGTATTATCTATTTGTAGACGATCCCAGACTCTGGTTCTGTTCATCTTTGCAATATACCAAAGGTTGATATCTTCATGAATTTCAAATGGATAACTTTCTCACTTGTGATTTCATTTATTCATTTTGCATGATGATAATTATTCGACTTCAATGGATAGATGCAGTTGGCAAATATTAACCACCTAGCGGTCTAGTCTGTAGGTCTACTATAATATATATATAAGTAGTACATAAAATAGGCAGTGAAATTTGAATAAGTATGTGCATCCCAAATTTTTTTCTCATTTTATTTCCCCTCCTCTGTAAGAGAAGTCAAAATTTCACTTGAAAATCAATGAAAAATCAATAATACATTTTTTATTTCACAATGTTTGCATATCACACGTTTACTCCTAAATAAACTCAAAAAATGATAAAATTTTTCAAAAAATGCGGGGACCGTCCATTAACCAACATGAGCTAGAGAGAGAAAGGTATCCGTAAACTTTGGAGGTTGCCTGCACAAACGATTTGCCTCACTTTCCTTACATCGCGATGCCCTCAGGTACGTAGTATATAGGCGAACGTAAGCAAGCAGTACGCCCCCTACCGTAATCAGCCGTAACTAACTTCTGGGTTTTGTTTACATTTTAATTTTAATACATTTTAGTTTGGGACTGTCTACCTGACCACCACCACGGTTGAATACAAAAATATAAACAACCGCTCGGTTTTCACGTCTTAGGAATTAAAGAAAAGCCAAAAAATGGCATTGCTATCTTTGAAAGCTCAGATCAGTGCATCTTGCACGTTATTGAGCTACGCGGCGCCGTGGTGGTTGTTTATATTTTGGTATTCGACCGCCACGGTGGTCAGGTAGACGTTTCCAATTGAAAACAAAAAAAAAACATAACCTAACCTCAATAATTTCAGGCGCCTATAGTTCATTGGCCAAATGTCGCTGTGACCACAGAACACAAACATGATTAATGGCAGATGGAAATGTGATGAAAAATGGAAATGATGGACTTCTCTCTCGTATTAACATAAACATATAAGGCGTTTTCGGAAACTTACTCGGGTTGATCGGATCACTAACCTGAACGTTCGGTTACCTAAGCCGAGTCACCTACCTCTGTTCGGAAACTTGAATGTTGCTAACTCGATCACTGACTCGGGTTGATTTTTCGTGACCCTACTCAAAAGCAGGGTCGCCGGAGTTGGAGAGGACACCGCATGCGCATTACCAATTTATACGAAATTTATATGTCAATCGAAAAACGCGGGAGTTCACCAGGAGTTCACCACTCGAGAGCTCCTATATACCTAATAATATATATAATACTCTTTGATTGCATAGTTGGTACCTCTTTTCACTAATGAAAATTCCCTAGAACAAAAGTAGCCGCGCTATTTAGGTATATAATGAATTCAGTGTTGCCAGAGCTGGTACATTTGTATAGATTCAGTACAATTCATACCCTTTAGTACATTAGTACATTCCACCCAATTCTGGTACAATTTCATGTTTTGGTCAATACATTCAGATCAAGTTTAGTACAATTGAACATTTATTACATGTAGCTACAAATAAAAACCAGAGTATGAATGACTGGCAGATCATCTGCCCATTATCTCCTCAGTTGACCTGACTGAGCTGTTTATGGATATCAGCCAACCAGCTGGCTGACCATAATGAGAGACATCATCAACTTCAACTGTCACTACTGTCAGTACAGTACTGTTTCCTGATGGTTTTTCAAATATTTGATGTACAGTCATCTTTTATTATGGATGATGAACAAAAATAAGATCCCAAAGTACCTGAATTTTTGTCTGAAAGATAATTTCAGCACCCAACCGCCATTAAACATCATGAGTAAGAAAGTGACAGGTTACCGTAACTCAAGCTATCTTTGTTTTGGTTGCCCCTGACCACCCCCTGACCACAGAACACCTCGCGCTATCCTAGCCTCAAGGTTGCCACTGTTGCCAGGTTCAGGAAAATTTCTCTAGATCTAGAGATGTTGCGAGTGATCTAGGGATTCAGGGAAAACTTATGTTAAAATATCCAAATCTAGCAATTATCAAGAAGCTACATAGACGCCAGAAGGAAAGTGGAACTAAAATAGAATGTGCTGACAATATCTCGAACATTCAAACGGTATGGCCCTTCATATACTGTGGTGCAATGGATCACCTTCATTGAAAAGACCCTGGTCGTAGTGGTCGTGCGCAACGATTTTGTATAATAAAATTAATAATCCTTGGGTCGTGCCTATTCAGTAACTTATCGTTAGAATACGATATCGTTACGATAACGATACATTGACCAACGACATTTTGAACGATAATTTCTAGAAGCTTATTCAGTATCGATGTCGTTAGAGAAAAATCTGGGGACATGGTAATAAATGGATTAGGTGAATGTTGGTATGAGTATGTTGATGTTCTGTGGCTAAAAACGCGCGAAACTTGTTAGAAGTTGAAAAAATGGTTATTTTTGTCAGTCAGTAAAACAAAACAAAGTAACATCACAGTTAAGTAGTAAACGTCTTCCAAGAAACGAACTTTTTTCTTTTTGTATTGTATCAATGTAAGTATATTAATGACTATTGAATATTGATTGATCTATAGAAAATTATGATTATTTTATTCATTCTAGAACTTGAATTCATAATGACAACACCAATAAAGGCTCATCAGCGTGGGATCAAGACCACCAGGAACCAATTTGAGGCATATTTGAATGAATTGAGAGTAAATAAGCCTTTTCGCGAAAATAAATTCGAAGGATCAGATCCTGACATCTTGAGAAGAACATGGGACCAATTAGCTGCCAAATTAAATGCTCTAGGTGGACCCTGCAAGGATGTGTCTGGGTGGAAACGGGTATGCTTGTGGTTTCTGCTCTTTTGCACTTCTTTCAATAAATAACATATACAATTGTATATTTATTTCAGGTGTTTACTGACTGGAAAAGTCAAGCAAGAGGAAAGGCAAGAAAGCTGAAGCTTGTTCAAGCTCAGACAGGAAATGTAGGAGTTCCTCCCAAACCACTGACAGATCTCGAAGAACAACTGTTAGATCTCACTGGACGGGTAGTAGTTACTGGAATGGATGTCCCAGAAATAGGAATTGGCATGTAACTTTTTTGTGAGATAGAAGTCCTACTTGTGAAATAGTTCAATGGCATACTATATCAACTATACTATCTTCCTTTCCAGATGGTCCAATACAACCTGATGTCCATCAGGAATTGAACAAAGATGATGATGATATTGGTGAAGGGGACATTGTAATGGAATACAATGATGTTGAGGCCAGTCAGGCATCTACATCACAAAAGAAAATAAGGCCTCCAAAAAGAAAAACAAGCCTACTTGGTTGCCTAGAAAATTTGGCAAACCAGTCGTCCATAGATGATAACAATAAAATGGTGGAAGAATTAAATAAAATTGCAAATGAACTGAAACAAAAAAGAAAAATCCAGAGTAAACAGTTGCAAATTGAATTATTGAAACTGAAATTGAAATACCCAACTCATGATTTCATATTTGATTCATCAGAATCAGAGTAAAAATTAGCACCTAGTTGTTTGATTTACATGAATATCTGATGGTTTCTGATTATTCTTCAGTCCAAATGAAAGAGAATCTTTTTTTATATATTTTATTAAGAATGTAGTTTTTTTTTTGTCATGATATATGTTCTTATCTGACTGATGTTTATTTTGTTGAGTTGTTTTTTGTTGAATTCATTTATCTATATACAATAATTAAGGTTACTGAAAAAAAACTATAGATGTCTTCATTGTATAGGTATTGATCATTCAATAAAATACATGTGAATACATATCAATGGAATTCTTCAAACCCTAGACAACAGGAAAATGTGCCATCACAATTCGATTCCTGATGATATTTCCCCAATTGAGTAATTGTGCATCATAAATAACATCCCGTTCTTCCACATTGTCTGGATCTGGAGGATTTTCTTCTATTATTAAGTTGTCATTATCCACTAAAACACAGGAAACAATTCAAAATTTATTCAGAATATCGAAGATGCAAATCACTGAAATGTCAGTATTTTCTGCTGAACTTGGTTTAAGTGAAAACATACCAGGAATATTTCTCATTCTCATGATGTTATGCAATACACAACATGCATATACAATTTTTGCTGCCATTTGTGGGCTATAATGCAACACTCGATCTGAATGTAGACATCTCCAAAGCCCTTTCAGAATGCCATTGACTCTCTCAATGCAACTTCTAATTGCCTTATGTTTCCTGGTGTATCGGGATTCTGGTGTTTCATTTGGTGCACCAACAATAGGTGTTAAAAGATAAGGTAGTAGAGGATAACCTGAATCCCCTGAATAAAAAGTGTGATTAGAAATTATGTTAATTCAAAGTGAAATACATGTGTAGACACATGATAATATACATATAAAATAGTTCTATTCATGATAATGGATTTTTTGAAGATAATTCATAAAAAAAATTGCATTTAAATAACAGTGGAATAATTATATAGTTTCAGCACTTACCAATTAAATATGTTGAGTGGTCTCCATTGACAAATTTTTCATGTAAATTAATTCTTACATTACTCATTCTCCATATAGCTGCATCATGAACACTTCCTGGATAACGCGCATTGACACTCAATATTTTTGTATCAACATCACATATCTGAAAAAATGAATAGTCCATAAGTACTTTATTTTGTTAATGTTGTTTCATTAGGAAAAATGGAACTTACAATCTGACAATTAATGCTGTAAAATCCCTTCCTGTTCATAAAAACATTAGGAGGATAACCAAGGTTCTGGAAATTAGGAGGAACAATCTTTATGTGGGTGCAGTCTATACATCCGATGATCCCTGGTATCTGGTGTTTAATATAGAATCTACAGTAATGATTATGTGAATGGTGGAATATGAAGAATACATAGACTACTTTACCCATTTTTTGTGTTGAAAATTTCATCAGCTGTCTGAGGGAACTTCACATATCTTTGCACAAGATTATTGACAATAATATCAATAACCTCATGAACTGATCGACTCACATTAGGTTGAGATGAACTGTTGAGTCTGTCTGAACCTACAGGCTTTTGATAACTTCCATGTGCCATGAAATGTAAAGCAGTGAAAAACTATGAAAAAAAAATGTAGATAGTTATAAGAAAAATTACTCATCATTCTAATCTCACTCTTATAATAGGGGGTGTTCTTGTTGTTCTATGTGCTGGCAACATAAATTCTAAAATTTCATTAAATAAATCTTGTGCTGCTTCTTTGTTAAGTCTATACATCTGGCGAAATAGCACATCTGGTAACTCAAATGGGTTACTGGTATCCCTCAGTATTCTGAGTCGCTGTCTATGTTGTTGTCTGAAATGTTATTGATATTACAATGGTTCATCCTGTTACAATGTATAGGTACCTGAACCATATGTAGGTACCTACCAGAGTTTATTACCTGCGTGCTATCTCTTCTCGAACTAGCTCTACTAATGCCCGGTTATTCATTTCTCAATAATCATCAGCAATCAAATTATCTTTCTACGTTCACCACTCTGTCTGCCACTTATTTCTATGTTATTTTCGAGGTTATTTTTTATGTTTTCTTCACGTAACGACAAAAAAATGCATCCAAAGACACCTCAGCCGATGTCGTCTACAAACGATAAGTTTTGTCGTATAGGTACGACAATCGTTAGCTACAGAATAACAAATATCGTTCCGTAACGATTATCGTTCGCTAACGATGTCGTTGAGCGTTACAGAATAGCCCCCTTCTCGTGAGTCTCAGGACGATTCCATTGCATAATAATGAAAATCCTATTATTTTATCGTAGGTTTCTTGGGTATACCCCTTATTGATGAAATAATTTGTGATAAATCATTCATCTCGATTACTGGTCACTGGCTCTGGTGATACTGGTGATGTGGAATGGTGATAAATAAATCAATAGGGTAAGGGTATTCCGCGGGAAAAATTTTTTTTTTTCAAATGGAACCCCCTGTATATCATTGCATATTTCGGAAGAGCTCTCTTTCCTGATTTCGAAAATATATGATGATGATGATATTCGACAAACTGTTCTGTCAAATGTAGCAGTCAAATACTTTACATAATTATTCTTACTTGGTAATCTTCTGTCTGGATAACTCCTCCTATACTTACTAACTGTTTCAGCAAGATTTTTATTAACTGAAAAATAACACTCCAAAATATCTCATCTTTGTTGTTGACCAAATCTCAATTCACTTATTCATCATCTCATTCTATTTCAACCATAGCAATCTTGAACCAAAGATTAATATTTGATTTTGCTGATATTTCGTCAAGTCCTCAATAGAATATATGGAAAGTAAATATTTTCGAAATCAGGAAAGAGAGCTCTTTCGAAATATGCGATAATATACAGGGGGTTCCGTTTGATAAAAATTCTTTTCTCACAAACCCTGTATATATATAAAATGATAAAATCAAGCGGAGAACACATTTTCTAGAAAGAAACGACATCTCATTCCAGTATACCTTTTTCCAAATTTCCAATATCTTTCTTCGTTTTCGATATATCAGCTGTTGAAGTCGTGAAATACATAGTCAATCACCCTGTACAGTTGAAACCATACAACTTTCATATTCGAAGTTTTTTTCCACCTCATATTATAGTTGAAGCTGTAGGTAGGGGTCAAAATATAAGGAGACACCCTGTACATATATCTACTCAGCAAATATATATATATATATATTCGAATCTCGAAAAACTATTCGACACGTGTAACGACTATTTTTCATATTTGATTATAAAATAATTCCACTTTTATTCTTTATCCCTAAAAAAAATTGGCAGGTACGCCCACAATATCACACTTCTTTCAAAATCAAAAAACCGTTGATGGAGGTAGCCTACCTAGGTATTGCTCAATCAAGGAATGAACACATGATTTTAATAAAATATTTTCAATCCGAAATAGGCACCTATACCTATATAAAATATTTTCGTACGCCTTTGAGAACTTAATTCGAATGGGACATGAAGGCCAAGTAGAATTAAAAATGAAACGGCGTGCTTGTTTTCCATTCTGTTTCGATATCGATACGTCGTGTGTCGTTGGTTGTCGTAGGTATCGAAGTAGAATAAGAATGAATATTCGCATTGCAATTAAGAATTTGTATACCTATGCCATGGATATTCAAGTCAAAATAGAATGATATTTCATTCCTTTGTCACTTGGCAGTCACAGACATCAAAGTAACATGAAAACTCAAGTCGCATTCGAATGTTATTTGATTCTTTTGCCAGTTGAATTTCCATTACACTTTGAGATCGCGGACATCAATGTAGAATAAAAATCAAGTCGCATTCGAATGTTATTTGATTCTTTTGCCAGTTGAATTTCTATTACACTTTGCGATCGCGGACATCAAAGTAGAATAATAATCAAGTCGCATTTGAAATGTGATTTAATTCTTTTGTCAGTTGAATTTCCATTACACTTTGAGATCGCGGACATCAAAGTAGAATAAAAATGAAGTCGCATTCAAATGTTATTTGATTCTTTTGCCAGTTGAATTTCTATTACACTTTGCGATCGCGGACATCAAAGTAGAATAAAAATGAAGTCGCATTCAAATGTTATTTGATTCTTTTGCCAGTTGAATTTCTATTACACTTTGCGATCGCGGACATCAAAGTAGAATAAAAATCAAGTCGCATTCGAATGCATTTCAATTCTTATGTCACTTGCATCTTCATTTACATTACACTCTGCTGTAGCTGACATCGAAGTAACATGAAAATTCATATGGCATTCGAATGTTATTCAATTCTTTTGTCACTTGCGTTTCCATTACACTTTGGCCTCACTGACATCGAAGAGACATTTTAACTAAGTCGAATCCAAATGGGACTTTGATTTCAATTGCATATGAACGGTTGCGACAGCTTATATGCAATGGATATTGAAGTAGCAGAAAAATGAAAGCAGAAATAAGATTAAAGTTGAATGAGAAGTAATGTTACATAGAAATCAAAGTAGAATGAGAATGCGAGTACAAAAGCATCTATTATATATGTTATGGCACATCAATTTCCATTGCATGTTGGTACCACGAGTCTTCCGTATAGCAAAAAAATTAACTTGGAATGGAAATGTAACTGACATTCAAATCAAAGTGATATAAAAAACAGTAGCGCCATCTAGCACCGCTTCTGAGAAAAAAAAATTCGTCTTTCCCAGAGAGGGCGCCAGTAGTTTTCCATGTTACTTGAATCGTTTTGTCACTTGTATTTTCATGGCATGTGAAGAGTTTGCTTCTTACAGATGCAATATAATTCAATGTCCCATAAAAATGCATGTGTAATAGAAATTCATTTTTCAATATGCCATTTTTTAAAGTCATACAACTAAAAGGGTAATGTGGAATTTCACATCCAATTTTTTTGTGAATAAAAACTATATGGCCGTTTTACATTTCAATTGTTCAATGGCATTTGTGAAAATGTGGACAAATTCAATTTCCATTCTATTTTCAAATTGAAACAACATTTCT